TACCTCTCATCAAACTGAATTAAATTTCTAAAAGTACACGATTACATATCCAAAAAAATTCATGCCTTCTCTGGTGTACCTCACGGAGGCCACTTATCGCCTCTTCTGTTTAACATATACATCTGACATGAAAACGTTTTTCAAATTATGCAATCCCATTCACTTACTCTACCTGTAACTGTCTCAATCTCTAATTCGGTTTAAATTACGTTTACCAGTTAAACCTGCAATGCCATCACCCACACTCATATAATTCATGCTTAATCTTGATTAAACGGTTAATTAATCATGACATCATCCTTACTCAATATATTAAGACCTAAGGGCTTACCTGTCATTGTAATACAATTCGCACTTAGCCTAATATCACACGGACATCTATCACCATACTACATAATGACAGAAAATCCTGGATAACCATAGAGTGAGTGCAAATCCTGGTGATTTTTCAACATCAACATGAAAATTAAAGAATAATCACATAATGGGCGTAAACATGAAACAGTTTAAAAAAAGTTACCAGGAAGAGGGATTTCTGCTCCCCAGGCACTGCAGCTTTCTAGCTTATTGAACTTTCCTAGGTCCCTAGTTCAGTGCAATTGACTCATTCCTTCTTGTCAGAAGTATTAGGACTGTTGTTGCTAAAATTTCATTCCCTAGGTTTTTTTCTGTATGCTAGGTTGTTTCCATTGAGTCATTGCTTCGATTTGGAAGATGATAATGGTGGCTTTTTCTTCTTCCTCATTACATAATCTGCAGATGGGATCATCATTATACATGTCCATATAATTTCAAACATATATTTTATATTGAAATACAATTACTTATGGGACTAGGGAAGACATGCCAGGAAAGATTTTAACAAACAATGATACTTTCAAGAATTGTTTTATTTATTTTTATTGAAGGTACAAAAAAAAACTAGTTAAAACAAAGGCATCACACTTAAATCAGACTTAACAATTAATCAGACTTAAAACTGTAATGATTATTTTTTCTTTTAAAATTACTCTTCCATTTTCTCATTTTTGTCCTTTTTCTGCTTCAAAGCTGGAGCATTTGTATGAGTGATAGGAATTTCACGAGAAGGATTCTCCTTGGAGATCTGAAAACATGAATAATATGTTGTATTAATTTCATTCTTTACGTTTAAAATTGTTTAGATTTTAAACAAGACTTACCAGCTTGGGTGCATGGAGTGAAAGGACACCATCGGAGGAAAGATTCGATTTGAGAGCGTTGACATCAACGTCTTTAGGAATCCTGTATTTCCTCGTGAACTGCCTCGAGATAAAACCGTGCTCGTCCGATCGTTCTTCATGCTTCCCATCAATGACAACCATATCATTCTCAACTTTTACTTTAAGCTCTTCGGGCTTAAACTGCCAATACAGTACAGAATAAAGACTTTACAACTTACTTTTATGATTGGCGAGTATAAGAATTGTCTCTGGTACAACAACGTTGTAAAGCTATAAGTAAACTGATCTTGCCAGGGGGACACCTGGCTTTTATAAAACCCCCACCAGACCCTAGAACGTTCCCGCCCCTTCTCCCCATTTCTAGATGTTTACTAACATTCAATACTGTCATTCCGGCTTTAAATACGGTTATAAATTATTAATTGAAAATAAATTCTCAATCCACGGATTCTGTTGTGCAATGAAATACAGAAGCAATAAGTTTTTACTAAAAATATAAATACTTTAGAGATTCACACCCTTTAAAAATACATAAACAAATAATCATTATATAATACACTAGTTTTGATAAAATAACTACATATTTTAATATTTTTTGATGATATTGGGCTGCAAAATAATAGTCCTGAGTCCCATCGTCCTCCAATAGGCCCTAATAATAATAAATTAATCAATTTTTACTAGGAAATCGTGAGATGCTGTCTGGTGTGACGTAGATTTCAGAAAAAACATTTTATATATCGTGCTACGTTTCGATCTTTATTGATATCGTCTTCAGGGCCTGGGATTTACAAACTTTGTTTAAATTTAACAAATACATGTAGGATGTTGAAAAAAGTGAACTTATACAGTGCAAAATAAAAGTTATATTCAAAGTATTTCTACTCACTCAAAGTGTGTTTTCTGTGTAGTTGTGTCATTATTGTTTCGTGTTGAGAATGTCAGTGAGACATTGATGTTTTATATTTATATACGTTGAAGGGGTGGGGTAGGAAGTCGGGATAGAAAGACATTTTTGTGTAAGGAGTCGGCTTCTTTGAGGTGTATTATATGTTTTGTGTGATGCGATGATATACGTATGTTATCGATATTGAATTTGATTAATGATATTGGCGTAGTTGGGACTGAGTTTATGTGCCTGTTCTGTAATTGATTGAATTTATCTCTGTTTTAACACACATTAATCAATTTACATATTTTTATAGATGGTTTACTGCCTTTATTATGTTTGTATTTAAAAGTTATTATACATCAGTAATTTTTAACTTAGGCTAAGTAAATAATATGCAGAATCGTATTAAATGAAATAACAAATTTAAAGCCCACGCAGGTGCCCCTTATGAAGGGAAAGGTTGCTCGATGTGTCCCACATAATAGAGGCGTGTCATGCCTTGGCTCCATGCAGCGAGCGTGTAGGCATGCCACCGGACTTAAGAAGAGTTCTCGAACACGGTAGCGAGTTTCAGAGTCCCCTGTTCCGCTTTTTAGTGGAAATTGGGTTTTTTTATTGTATATAATATGTCATATGTGTTGTGTGTCTAGGTTTTACCTGAGTGCATGTATTTATTAGCGTGAATGGCGAGGGGTTAGGGTGAAATATAACGTCATCATCGCCCCTCGAACGTTGAGAGCGTATGAGTGTGTGTTCGGGGTCGATGGCGGAATATTTATAAAAGTACTCCATCAACCACAATCTAGATTAGTTTGAGTATAGGTCAGTGGAGGAATATCAAGTACTCCACCGACCAAACGGAATGAGTGTACTGTATGGATGTATTTATGTGTATGAATGTAGTGTTTGAAAGGGTAAATAGAATATAGGCTTAGTTGGGGGCTGAAATGACCGAGATGTCGGAATCCCCTGAAAAAAAATTACAAAAATCGAAAGCGCTTCCAATAAAAAATTCCGATTTGTTTAAAGCACCATTTAAAGCCTGTAAATATGGATATAACAATAACAACATTGACATTAATGAGCAGGGAAAATGTTTTTTTTTTATCCGAGGCCCGGTACATCGCTACTACGTCGAAATAATGGCAGCTAACTGTATTAACCATATATTATTTGGTAATATGATAGATGTTGAAATACATTTTTTTTTTAATAGAGAAACAAAGTTGAAAGTCGTTTTTTGCACTCTCAAAAACCCTTGAACACTGCCAAATTTGTCCTTTGTAAATATATTAAAACCGGAGATATAAAATAAAACATGAAGAGTTTTTATGTATTTTATCCCTATTTTTATTTACTTAGAATTACAAAAACTGTAATCGTTGTGGACATAGGCTGGAAGAAGATAAATTCAACTTCTCTATTTTTGTTTTATCGTCACATCCAGAGGAATTATTAATTTTCAAGGAAAACACCGGAACATAATTAAATTAATAAATGTTTTAATGGAAAGATTACGTAAGAACATTACTGTTATTAACACTTATGCGTTCTTCAATTCCAAAACGTTTGCACACCCAAAAAATTATATCACCAATATATAAAAGAAATTTCAAATACGTCTTTTACGATTTATTTTTCGCTAAAGGATATTTCGTGAAGAAATTCAGACTGAAAATCTTACTTGTGAAAATAATGTGAAAATGTGTTGATTTTTTGTATAAAAACAACGCTTATGATATAATATGATGTAAAGAAGGGATATTTTTTTTAATTTAGAAAAAATAACAACAAAACAGAAAAAATAAGGTGAGAAATAGGGAAATCAGCCAAAAATCCAAGATGAGTCTAGAAGTGAGGAGGGCGTTCTAGGCTGTTCTATGAAAGCCTGCCCCTCTATAAATACTCAGGCTGGCTTGGTCCCCTCATCAGTTGATATTGAGCAAAGCAAGCGAACACTTCTTGAATCGTTGGATTCGACCTTATAAACACCCTCAAAAAAAGTAAGTAATTAAATTTTTTGTTATAGTACTGTAATTAAATTTTTGTCTTTTTAGAAATGTCATTGCTGCCAGTTTTGTTCAACGAGCTGCTTGACACTTACCACAGGCCTGTTTATGACCTTAGCGACCAGCATTTTGGACTCGGTCTTATGGATGATGACCTGAGACCGTGCGGATTGCTACAGACTCCACTAAGGTGCGGCTACGTCCGACCTTGGAGGAACCTTTTGGCTGGCGATTCTGGCCTTTCTTCGATTGTCTCAAACAAGGATGAGTTTAAAGTCAACCTGGACGTGCAGCAGTTCAAGCCGGACGAGCTTAAGGTCAAGGTTGAGAATGACATGATTGTCGTTGATGGGAAGCACGAGGAAAGGTCGGACGAGCATGGTTTTATCTCGAGGCAGTTCACAAGGAAATACAGGATTCCAAAGGATGTAGACCTTAATGCCCTTAAATCAAATCTTTCATCGGACGGTGTTCTTTCCCTTCAAGCACCTAAGGTGAGTTAAAAACATTCTGAATTCCATGTTAATATTTTTCTTTATTTACTAATTGTAAATACATTTTTCTGTATGCAGGTTTCCAAAGAAAATGATGCTCGTGAAATTCCCATCGTTCACACGAACGCCCCAGCTGTGAAACAGAAAAAACAGAATAAAGAAAAACAGGAGAATGGAGAAAAATAATACTTACCCCTTCATAGATTAATTGTCTTTCGTTTGACTGTATTTACCTGACTGATAATTTATATTCCTACTTGTAATGGTGTAATATGTTTAATAAATGTACATATTTGTATGTTCCTAGTTTATTTAAATAAATATTTTTAAACCTTGACTTTCGTGTATGTTTTAATTTACTGTCTTTTTCTCCTTTTTATTGACATTTGAGATTCTATTTTCTTTACAACTGCTTTGCAAAGGTTTGACCCAAATTTCAATAGAAAAAAAAAATTCCTGCATTTTTGAAACATTTCTGTGCTAAGGACAAAAATTAATTTTTTTAAAACTGATATTTTTTACGGGTCAAAAACGCATTTCTTAAAAAAATAGCCATCTACTCAAACAGCCAGAAGATGGCAATAACCACATCGGTGATAAAGTCCATCAGGGCCCATCAGACATACTGGATACCAGGGCACATAGGGCAGAAGGGCAATGAAGAGATTGATTGGTCAAGGAAAGTTTAATGAGAACACCTATTGGCCCAGAACCCTTTTGGGGCAAACCAAACTGACAAAAGTTCTTCATTCAATGGAAATGTAACCCAGGACAGAGATAAAAAGTTCCTCAAAGGACCATCACAGAAACTAACGACAGAATCTAGGACTAGAATATAAGTAGAACTGCTGTCTGGACAGTGCTAACTTCAGAAGCATATATCCAGACTCACAGGCAGAAACAAGCCTGTGCAGATATTGTCAGGAAGAAGAAACTGCAAAACATGTTTTGTAGGTTAAGATTCCTACTCCTGGAAGAGGCAAAGCCCAAGTTTGAAGAATATAAAGTAGTCCAAAAGATTTGGGATCAGGTAAAAAAACTTAATAACAAAGAGCTCTAGACAACAATGGAGGTGCAGATTAGATGTACATTCATCTAGTAGTGTGCAAGATATGAAGAGGCCGACTACTTTTCTAATCTAACCTAATCTGCCTCGAACAGAATATTAATGACGGTGGCTTGTAGCTTAGCTTCACACCACTCATAATGCCAGTTTTCCCAGAACTTATTTTTGACATGAGAGGAAGTGTTAATCCAAACAAATTTTGGCCGAGGCACAATGTCCTAGAATCCACATTAATAGGACCAAGACATTCATTGTTTGGAGTTTCTCTAGGAACAGAAGGATTTCCTGGGTATGAGATTAATAGAAAATTGGCTCTGTAAGACCGACCGTGCAACCAAACAGTAGGGAATATATAGACTTTTATTAATCGCAATAAGATCAGTGGTGATATTGCTGCTTATCGAGAATATAAAAACAGAAAACTTCGGAAGTTGTTTTATAAAGGCAGTTTCTCCATTAATTGAGATCTTGAAAACATCAGAAAAAATGAAAGTCACCTTTGTGATAGATTAAAGTAATTTGTAAAATAGCTGATAAACTGACAAAAACATATGGTTGTTATTCAATAATATCAATTCAATCATAAAACTAAGATGACATCCCCATGGAGAAATAAACTATCTGTCAGGAACGAAAACAGAGCGTTGCAAATGGTTTTACAAGAAAAGATAAAAGAAAGGAAAGGAACGGTTAAAAATTGGTGTAAAAATGATTTTGAAATCGGCTGCAGTGTGGGAAGAGGAAAATATGGCAGTGTTTACATCGCGAGGGAGAAAGAGACAAAAGTGATTGTCGCTCTGAAGGAAATCAACGTGAGGGAAATCGAAAAAGAAGATCTGTTGATTCAGGCGGAGCGAGAAATCGACATCCAATCTCAACTCAAGCATCCGAACATTTTAACACTTTACACTTATTTTTTAACCGTGGATAAAATTGTCCTTGTTCTTGAATTTGCCGGGCAGGGAGAATTGTACAAGCTTATGAAGAAACAGCCTGAGTGTAGGTTCAGGGAAGGCGTGGCCGCCCGTTTCGTCTACCAGGTGGCGGATGCTCTCAATTACTGTCATTCTAAATGGGTGATACACAGGGACATCAAGCCGGAGAACATCCTCTTAGACATAAACGGAAACATCAAACTCTCAGATTTCGGATGGTCGATCCGATCGTTAAAAAAGCGTAAGACCCTCTGTGGAACGCTGGATTATATCGCTCCTGAAATAGTGGAGGACATTCCATACACAAGTAAAGTGGACAACTGGGGCTTGGGCATACTCTGCTTCGAGCTGCTGGCCGGTTACCCACCGTTCCAAAGCGAGACAGAGGAGGAGACATTGAGAAAAATTGTGGATGTAGAAATTGATTTTCCCAAAGTCATACCGTCTCCTGTGAGGGATCTCATTATGAGACTTTTAAAATACAATCCACACCAGAGGTTATCTCTTAATGAAGTAATGAGCCACAACTGGATCATGAAAAATAAACCGCTAAGTAAATAAAAAGTGATTAGTAAATAGGATAATTAATGAATAGAAAGAATTAAATAGCTACATACATTTGTATATTTTTCCCTTCCAACTCAAATCAATGTACAAATTATTTACAAAAATTTTATAAAATAATTAAACATAGCAACAAATGGCTTATAAAGTATGAAAGCGATGCTTTTAAATATATGGAAAACATTTGTGGTAAAGATTTAAAGATTGCTTAAGCGTTTCAATTATCATAATCGGTTTTCCAAAGGAAAAGATGAGGAATGTTAAAAATTGTGCTTAGACGAATAACTGACGTTAATATTAAAAGCATCTATTTAATAAAATAAATATTTTAATTAAAGCAGTTTTCCCTTGGCGGTTTGGTTCAAAGCGATCACTTATTTTTCATCTTTGGTGAAGTTGACTGGAAAACACTAGAAGCTGACATCAGATTTTGAATATACTGCCCCAAGACCTGATTCTCCGACCTTAGCTTTAAATTCTCCTCCTTGACACTGTCGACTCTTTGAGATAAATCTGAAAAATAAAATGTTTTAGCACAACATAAAAAAAAATTGCTAGATATTTCCTCGAGGTCTGCAGGATCTAGTCTTTTCCGATCACTATAAACCCATCAGACCAAAACAGAAATTGGCAAACCGATGAAATGAACAAAAAGGCCCAACTATAAATAAAAAAGTTCTTAAATAATAATATAAGATACCGTCTAAAGTGTTTTGAAGCTCAAGGACTTGTGAAATCAGCCTTGCCTTCTCTTCTTGCTCATCTGGGCTTATGTCAGGATCTAGGCCTGAAAGAGAAAACGTCAATGAATTAAAAAAAAAAGATGTATAAACTACTTACTATTAGGTCCAGGGCTACTGCTTCCATTTGTAAAAGTTGAAGGGATTGAATCCATGCTACGGCCATGCACCATCGGGTCTGAAGCCTGCGACATCTCGGTTACGTCACCCTCATCTTGGATAATCACTGGAAAAATGATTCATAGACTAGAGATGGTTATATAAAAATAGTGGTACACAACAGTTCAATTTAAAACATTTTGTCATACAACATTCTGTACTTAAAATAATGAATATTTGAACTTTTTGTCTGAACTAATGAAATTTTAGTGTTAGAACTGAACTAATGAAGTAAAAACTCTTTATCAAAATTAATCACGTCTTCACTATAATTGGTAATGGTTAAAACATTAACCTTATAAGCAGAACTGATGAAGTAATCTCAAACTTGTGCATCACAACTGATGTAGAAACAGAAAGAATAAAACCTTCTGAACAGATTAAAAGAGTATCATAAATTTTACTCAGCGGTTGAACAAAGAACTAATAATTGTTAAATTTCAAAACTTTTGTTATTGATATTAGATTAATCACGTGTTCTATGGGGTGATAACCCGTAATTTGGTTGTTTTTGATAATCCTTGTCTATCTATCTTTGCTGGGTTGGTCTTACAATTACAAATTACAGATTCATCACTCCACAGAACACTTGAAGAAATCTTACAATTTACTTTTTACAATGAAATCTCTTCCATGAGATGATGCAAGGTAGGATCCACAAACTGACAATGTTTACTCATACTGTACAAATATGGTACGAGAACAGAGGCTACTAAATTTAAGTTCATTTATTTCCAACCACCAATTTGGCTTCCATAATTATCACTACACAATACGCTAAATTCATTATATTATACATGTCATTGCAACATGCCTTAGGTGTAAGCAGTTCTGCCCTGGAGTTTTTCTAGACATCTCCCAGGTGAAGTACAAGACGTTTTGGCAAGGCCTTTATCAACAGAAACGATTACGAATCATTTGTGGGAAGTTGTCCTCACATTGTATGCCCCTTTGAGATAACCTGCAGCAACAGCCCACCACCAGCAACTCAGGAGAATATGGAACAGCGAACACCCAGAAGAGAATTGGAATACTGTTATGTTTACTGATGAGTCATGTTTCTGTCTGTATACTGATAGCAGACGCCGAAGAGTCTGGATGCGTACTGAGATGTACCCAGTTTGTGCTCCCTTCAGTGCAGTTGGGAGGAGATGATATGGTCTGGGCTGGGATTTACACGCAGTCCGTTATGCCCAGTCAAAATTATCGAAGAAAACATCCCTCAAACCAGGTATCTCATTGGCAGGGATTTTTGACTTCTGAATGACAATGCCGGACCTCATTGAGGCAGAGTTTAGAAAACCCAGGAATTTCCCATCTGCCACTTCCCGATTGTCTTCAGACCTCAATCCCTTTGAACATATGTAGGATGCATTGTTGAGGTTGTGTTGAGAATGAATGTATTTACTAGTATGAATGATGTGAGAGGGTTGATGGCGGAAAATCGAGTACCCCATCGACCCTCAATTAGATTAGTTGTATAATATGTGTAAAAGGTTGTGTTGAGAGTGAATGTCTTTATTAGCATAAATGTGAGATGTAAGAGGGTCAATGGCCAAACAGTATCCCATCACCCTAATTAAATGAACAGTATGTAAATAGGAATGAATTTTTAGGAATGAGTTTGAAACTGCATTCTTTGGGTGCTGAATTGACCTAGCTGTTGACAGCACCCAGTTCAACCTCAGTGGCTGGGCAGATGAGATTGACTACTGAGGTCTGACCCCAGGGTGATTCTCAAGTCTGCTGGTAATTTACTGTAAATTGCAAAAGCTGGAATTGTTGCTGGACTACTGGAATAGGCTCAATTCAGCACATGTATGTATGTTTGTACGTGTGCGTTTTGGAGCCTATACAAATTCAAATTACCCATATAAATAAATAGTAGCAATGTTGGGACTGAGTTAGTCTTCTTAGTTCTTAGAAATTTTAAACTATCTATTAACAACTTAATTATGTCAATTCGTAGACGTTTTTGCCCTGATTATGACCTTAAAATGGGTCGAAATCTAGGCAGAAAAAATTGATTTTCCATTTTTCATACAGACACACCATATTACTCACAGATTTTTTTTTTTAAAGTGGAAACTGGTTTTTTAATAATTTGCTGGAATCGTGAAGAGCGGCCACAAATGACTTGCTATGTTTTTGAGTTGAGAGTGGTTTCATGTCCATATTTGATGGTGATACATTTGTAAAAACCCATGTTAGTTATGTTGTTCCTCTTGGGTAGAAATGTGTGTTTTTTTAGTGACCAGAAAGGCCTCTTTCAGAAAAGGCGGTTTGATTGATGCAGCTAAGTTGCCCGGTTGACTCTCAACTAGGAAACAACCTCTCTTCCAACGGGAGGTCAGTATGGTGTTAGAACCCGAGGAAGTAGGAGCACTTCTTGTCCTTGCTCTTCTGCAAAAAGATAAACAAAAAAAGGAGGAAACCCAGTAAAGAAAAGTGTGGGTTTATCTGTTATTATAAAATTGGGAAACGAGTGCTTTCTCTCAAATACTGTTGTGCTACTTCCCTCAAAGCTTCGTTTCTTTTAATTTTTTCGCTATACTCCTCACCCCTCATGTCCCATATCATGGGACTAATATGAATATTTTAAATGAACTGTTCCACATTGAAACTTGCAATTGCAATGCTTTCCTTGGTGAACTCAGTTGACTCAACTAGGCGACTGGTGTGAAGGACGAATGCCGAGCAATGTCTTTTGAGTCAAGTCAACCAGTGGGGATGAGTGTGTGCTTGCCACCCGCCTGGGCGGACGAGTTGACTGCTTGTGAAAGGGTTGGGGCGATTCCCAAACATTTGGCTACCACATTACACTCCTTGACATCCGTCCGTTTAACTAGTTGCCTTGTCTGAAAGAGGCCTAATTTGTTGGAATTGTGAAGAATAGTCAAGAATGTCTCTTAGCTATGATTTTGAGTTGAGAGTGGTTTGATTTCCATGTTCGTTGGTGATACATTCTTAAAAACCCATGTTAGTTATGTTGTTCTTCTCAGGTAGAATTTTTTTCTTTTTTTTACCCACCTGTTGTTTAATAATTTGTTGGAATCATGAAGAGCGGACAAGAATGACTCATAGCTATGCTTTTGAGTTGAGAGTGGTTTGATGTCCACGTTTAAGTGATCCAGTCGTACAAACCCATATGTTATGATTATTTGGAAATTGTGAGATGGTCTGGTGTGATGTAGGTTTCAGAAAAACATTTTCTTTATCTGCCAACGTTTCGATCTTTATCGAGATCATCTTCAGGGCTCAAAGTGTTTGTTTTCTGTGTAATTGTGCTATTCTTGTGTGTCGTGTTGAGAGTGCACTAATCACCACACATACGAGATATGTTGTTCTTCTCGGGTAAAAATTTTGTCTTTTTTTTTTTACCCACCAATTGTTTAATAACTTGTTGGAGTCGTGAGGAGCAGTCAAAAATGAAACTTTGGTCACTTCATTCTTGAACCTTCCATGACTCCAATAAATTACTATCGATAGAGTCAATAAGAGACAAAAACCAGAAAGTAGGTCAACGTAATAAAAATTGTCCAGAAGTGTAAAATGAGAAAAAAATAGGCCTGACACGAACAAATTTAATATGATTATAGATCAATCAAACTAAATGTTGACAAATTTGTTGATACCTCCCGCAGGGTTTAGGTTGACAACCCGATTTGGAAATATTTAGATCTAGTGAAATTAATACCATGTAAAACTTTTAATGTTAATTATTCAGTAGAAAATAGTGTTTGAGTGATTATTATTAATGGAAAATAAAGAAAACGGTTATTGTTGAACAGACATACCTTGGGGGTCGTCATCGGCGAGAGGGATGTTGTTAATATCGTCTTGCATTTTGATATCGTTCATCGTTGACTAAATTGTAAAAACTACTTTCGACAAATTGTCCAATTCGATCACAACATTTTATTTGTATTTCTAAGTTACAGTTAAAAAAAATTTTATCCCCTTTTAAAAATTAACCTTCACGATTTGGATAACGCAATCAGCTGATTTGATGTAGAATTTCCGGGGAGAGTATTTCATTTTTTGAATATATTTTTGCTGTTGGATATTTTAATTTTTGATGTTTGAATTTTTTTTAAATTTATTTTATCTTGTGTGAAAAATAGAATTTGCTGTTTCGTCTCGAGGTCGAAATGGAGGGGAGGACGGTAGAACCGTGAACTTTCACAAAACGCATTCACTGTCTCTCTCGCTCTCTCTTCTGGTGGCGACTTGTTTTTGTTTATTTATTAAAAGGTTTATTTTCCTCGGGTTCTGCCTTTGATTGGGGTTGGAAGCCAGGGTCGGGGATAGACGACGATGAACCTCACCACCCGGGGCTAGGACCGGACTTTCTAGGTGGAGGATTTGGCGACCCTTGACCGCCGCGATTTTCTTTTAATGAATCTCAACGAGAGGCGAGATGGCTGATTTCGATGCGATTTACGAGGAAGAAGAGGAGGCGGACGACAACGTCGACGAAAACATCGTCTCACTCGGTGCAGATCCTGTCATCGTCAGAGGAACTGGCAACATGACTGTGTAAGAACATTTCTCAAAACATGCCAATCATCGTAGACAAAAACTTGCAGAACAGCCTACAGAAATTAACATGTTAATGTTTAATGCAACGCGAAACGTATTTCAAGTTGCATTTCATTGTTAAACTTCTAATCTGACTCAATGTTGACTTAATGTTGACAAGTTGGAAAGCACTTTGTCACATCAGTCAATTCACATTCGAAGATAGACACAAGTTTATTTATCATTTTTAAACATCCCACCGTTCACAATTTATTCAGAATATGTAATAGACAAAATATAAATAAACGAGAAAAGGTCATCTGGAACAATATGAAATTTTAACTTCAAACAATATCGTTTCTAATTCAAAAATCGCTTTAGTTCAGTTCAATTGAATCAATGTTTGCAAGTTGGGAACCACATTGACACACCAGTCCTCTATAATTAAACGTAGAAAAAAAAATGTCATTGCCAAAAGAAGAAGATTCACAGAAGCTCCTCTATAGAAAACATGAAATTTTAAGTTCAAACAATGTTCATTTCAAATTAGTGGTCATTATTGAAACATTATAAATCAATTCAATGTTGGCAAGTGGAAAGTACTCTGACTCATCAGTCATATTCAATGAAAGTCAAAAAATAATTTTTCAGCTATAAAGACCCCCCCCCACAAAGTTAATAATTATTCAAATCATGTCAGTCAAGGTTAAAAATTAAATAAAATAATATGAAAGGACAAAAGGCCTTCTAGAAAAAAGGAAATTTGAACTTCACACAGTTCTATTTCAATGATGACAACTGGGAATCACTCTTACTCGTTAAGTCGTCTATAACTAAAGATAAAAAAAAATGAGGTTTTTAATTGTAAAACCATCAGCCCACAATTTGAGAACATTTTATTTATGGGCCAAACACAGTAAAAGACAAAAGGTCCTCTAGAACAATATGAAATTTTAACTTCAAACAATATACTTTAAAATTCAAAAATTCAGTTCAATTGAATCAATGTTTGCAAGTTGGGAACCACATTGACACACCAGTCCTCTATAATTAAAGGTAGAAAAAAGAAAATTTGACATTGTCAAAAGACCCCATCATTCACAGAAGCTCCTCTATAGAAAACATGAAATTTTAAGTTCAAACAATGTTCATTTCAAATTAGTGGTATTATTGAAACATAATGCAATTCAACAATGGCAGGTTGGAAAGCATGTTGTCATATTTCAAGAAAGTCAAAAAATAATTTTTCAGCTGTAAAGACCCCCACACAAAGTTAATAATTATTCTTATCATGTCATTTGTAGATTAAAAAATAAAATAAAAGACAAAAGGCCTACTAGAAAAAAAAGGAAATTTGAACTTCAAACCATGCTATTTCAATGTTGACAGCTGGGAAGCACTCTACTCCTTAGTCATCTATAACTGAAGATATAAAAAACAGATTTTTTTTTTCAATTGTAAAACCCTCAGTTTTACTGAGAACATTTTATATATGGGCCAAACACACTAAAAGACAAAAGGTCCTCTAGAACAATATGAAATTTTCACTTCAAACAATATCATTTCTAATTCGAAAATCGCTTCAATTCAGTTGACTCAATATTTCTAACTTGGGAAACAAATTTACTCACCAGTCCTCTATAATTAAACGTTGAAAAAAGAAAATTTGTCAGTGTCAAAACACTCCATCATTCACAGAAGCCCCTCTAGAAAATATGAAATTTTAACTTCAAACATTGACATTTCAAATTGTTGGTCATTATTAAAACGTTCTAATGCAATTCAATATTGGCAAGTTGGAAAGTACTCTGACTCATCAGTCATATTCGAAGAAAGTAAAAAAAATGTTTTTTCAGCTGTAAATGTCTGGGCAAAGTTAACAATTATTCTGATCATGTCAGTTTTAAATTAAAAAATAAATAAAATAATAGACAAAAGGCCTACTAGAAGAAATGAAATTTGAACTTCAAACAGTGCTGTTTCGATGTTGACAATTGAAAAGCACTTACTCATTAGTCATCTATAACTGAAAATTTAAAAAAATTTTTTTTTTCAATAGTAAAACCCCCCCAGTCTACAATTTATTGAAAACATTTTATTTACGAGCCAAACAAAGTAAAAGATAAAACGCCCTCTAGAGAAATATGAAATTTTAACTTAGAACTATACCACTTCAAATTAGTTTTTGTTATTAAATAATCTAATTAAATTCAGTGTTGACAAATTGGAAAGCATTGAGTCATTAGTCATGTAAAACCTGATCGACAAAAGATGATATTTCAATTGTTAAGAAGGCAGTTAAAACAGGCTATTCACTTCAATACTGAAAAGTTGGAAAGCATTTTGGCTCATAAGTCATATATTATTAAATATAGACAAATTATTTTTCAATTGCCAAGCCCTGTCCACAATTTAGTCAGAATATGACCCTCACAGGGGGGATAAAAAAAAGGCTCTATAGAAAAATTTTCAATTAATACCATTTAAAATTAGTTTTCATTGTTAAAAGTTCTAATTCAGTTCACTGTTGACAATTGGGAAGAGCTCTGACTCATCAGCAAATATTTGAAGAAAGTCAAAAATAATTTTTCAACTGTAAAGACCTGACAATTTAATTACAATAATATATCAGTCATAGAAAAATCATACAAACAGACAAAAATAGGCCTTATAGAAAAATAAACTTCAATTAATACAATTTCAAATTAGTTGTCATTGTGAAACTTGCAATATTAATGAGTTGAAAGGCATTTTGGCTCATCAGTCGTTATCGTAATCAAATGTAGAATAATGATTACATTTCAATTGTAAAGCTTCTTCCTGTAATTCAACTGAATGTTGACTCAAGCAAGTTGGAAAGCACTTTGACTCATCGGTCAACTATAATTGAAACTAGACAAAATATGATTTTTCTACTGTGCACTCCACATTCAAAAAATGCCAATGTTTATGGGTAAACATTTAAACAAGAACAAAAGACCCTCCATTGAAAAATAGGAAATTTTCATTATAATCCAACGTTTAAAAGTTAGAATGCAATTTTACACATCTATCAGACAAAGGAGGCAAGAAATTACTTTTCATCGATAAAGTCACCACTTCTTCAAAATTTACTCAGAATAGGCCAAACATCATAAACAAAAGAATCCCAAACAAAGACGTGACCCTTGAGAAAATACTGTGACATGTTAAATTCTAACCATACCATTTTAGAAATAGCTTCTAATTATTGAACATTTTTAATTCAACTCATTTGTCATTGCCAACTATGATAAGAGCTTGGAGATAAAAGATTCTTTTAATTGTAAAATGTTCCAATCGTTGTAGACAAACATGCAAACAAATACAAAAGAGCCTTTAGGAAGTTTTATGCAATCAATTATATGCGATATCATCAATAAACCATACCATTTCAGAATTATTAAACGTTCTAATTCAATTTAATTTTGGGGGATCGCGGTAGCCGAGTGGTTAGCGTGAGAGACCCTGTGGTCGTGGGTTCTCGCCCACCATCGCCTGTGGCCTTTTTGCCCCCCCCCCCCTTACACATATGCATAAAAAAATTAATTTTGAAAACCTAGAAAGCACTTTTAACTCATCAGCTATCTATGAAAGGAGATGTAAGATTATTTTTTTACTTATAAATCACCTTTATACTTTTATTAAAAATATGTCAATCATAGACAAAAACCTGTATTATGGGTCAAATGATTTTCTAGAAAATAATAATGTTAATTTAATTAATTATACATTTTATCTAAGGTCTTGGTCGAGATAAGAAAGCAAGTGTCAAGAGCAGGGGACACTAACTTTTCATCTTAACCCCAGACCTTACATAAAAGGTATAATTAACTGAAATAATTAATATAGTCAATTTACATGGATTAATAAATGTTAAATTTAAACTGTGTGATTTTAAATTTGGATTCATTATTAAATGTCAATTCAATATTGGAAAGCACTTTTACTTTTTAATTGTAAAGCTCTTTTGACTTTTTAAATTTTATTTTGTAATATTTTATTTTTGTATCATTGTCTGGGAAAAAATAAAAGTATTGTTAGCAAATTAACTTACAAAAGATAAATTACCAAGCCATTTCATGCAGGGTATCTCATCAGCCCCAATAATGAAAGATAAAATGTGATCTCATTGTTGTTTTAGTTTCATTAGGTATAATAACATTTATTAGAAAATTATGATTATGGCAAACATAGCATTTATTGTCTGGAAAAAGAAAAGCTTTTGATCTATTTTAAGGTCATCATCAAGGACAGGATCATAATTCTACAAATGTCATAATAAAGTTGTTAGTTATGTTCAATAACAAATTAAGTTTAACGAAATTTGAAACCATTTGTTAAAAACAGAAATATGTCCTGGTGATAACCTTAAAATAGTATGAAAGCTTGTTAGGTAACAATTGAATTAGTTTTTTTAACTTCCAGACCACACAGATTATTTGTGTTGTGTAAAAGTGGTTGAGACATCTCACACTTTAAATGGTATTTATTCGTAATGTTTATCGAATTTGTTTCAAGTGTCTAAAAACTGATGGTAATTAATCTCGTCTGTAGGGTCAATGGTCAGGTGATGCCCTGTGCTATCTATAAAATTGTCATTAATCGAATTTGTTTTGAAACCCAGCGAATATATGTGTAAACACCTAATGTGATATTTAATTAAAAAAAAAAAATCATTATAGATAAAAAAGAATAATTTTGTAAGGCGAACTTTGCTGTATGCTTTGCTTCTTGGATAGTTTACAGATCAATTTGATTTGATTTCCACTTGATTTGTATGTTATATTGTTTTGTACACAATAAAATTTAAACAAAATGGTTTTGTTTAAATGAAATTGCATTTAATTTTTCTTGTTTATTTACAGATTTGGCCTGAGTAATAGATTTGACCTAGAGTTTCCGAACGGCCTTGTATCAAGGGTTGCACCCGAAGAATACCGGGCGACAGTTTCACGTGTAAATAATGTCCTTAAGAAAACGATACCCGTGAATGTCAAGTGGTTGTTCTGTGGTTGTGTTTGTTGTTGTTGTACACTAGGCTGTTCCCTCTGGCCTGTCATCTGCCTCAGTAAAAGAGTAATAACAATTTTTAAATTACTGCGCTATAAACATTGGATTTCTTTACTATTTTTTTTTTCTCTTCAGACTCAGCATTCGATAGACAAACTGCTTGAATGGGAGAACAGCCATCTTTACCACAAATTAGGACTTCATTGGAGGCTGGCTAAACAACGATGCGACTCATCTTCTATGATGGAATATGTAAGATTTTTTTAAATAAAAAATAAAAACTCTTGCATACTTGATTTTTTTAATGTTTTTTAAATACTCATATTGCAGTAGCATTTATTTATTTACTTCAGCATGGCCTATCTTTACTAACATAGTTCGCTAAAAATATTCGACCCTGAGATAAATTCCTTACTTTCCAAATACAATTATCAGAGTGAAAACAGTAACAAATCTTTTACATGCTTGTTTTTATGTCGTGAGTTGTCTCATTGTTATGAGGCGGATTGATATTATTAATTTCGGATAAGAGATATTCCAACTAATTTTCTTTTAATATCATTTTATTTTGTTTTATTTTCAGGTGTTGCTCATAGAATTTATTCCAAAGATACCGATTTATAGGCCTGACTAGTGTAAATTATGAGCTTGTTTTTCGGAAACAGGGCTTATAAACATTTGGGGACAACCACGACAGCTTTGCACAGCGAAAAGAATTTTTGTTTTCTTTTTCATCGAGTTTGCATGAGAAATGATAAGCGTGAAAGTGTAAGAGAAAGTGAGAAAGAGAGAAAGGATACGGGTTTTATACTATATTATATACATATATAATATTAAAAAAAGATAAAACATTAATGAAAACTAGGCTAGTTCTCTTTAAATATATTCCAGGAAAAAGTAAACAATCATCGTATAGAGAGAAGAAATGTATTTTGATATAGTTAAAAAAAAATTGTTTTCCTCCAAGCCTATTTCAATTCTTATTGAACAACTTTTCCGCGTATAAAAGAAAAACCCGCTTCTTTAAACACTGGTGCAATTGAATTTTTGTAAAATTATAATTTGCATACTTAGTAGATGTCTATTTTTCCAAAAAATTTTCTATAAATTTTAAAAGTAGTTTCTAGTATGTAAAATGCTAAATTTGAAAGTGAATTTTATTTGTATTGAACAAGTTGTTTCTTCTTTTAAATTGTTTAATGTTCATAATGAGAAAAATTATTGTAAATTAATGGAAATTTAATTTAAACGTTAACATGTAACAATGTTATATTTTAAAAACTGAAACATCTTCCAGTTGATTATTACAAATCGAATAATTATAATTATCATATCCAATTTGTGATTATTGTTACCAGTTCTCTGACTACCATAAAGTTCAAATTGACCAATTAATATTTCTTTGTCCTAATGCATTTGGTTTGAAAATGTTGCTGTATAATTTTAATGTATTTTGTACTATTAAAAAAATACTAAAATTAGTTATAGTTAAAATACTTTTTTACTTAATATTATTTGACCTTAGTTTACTTACTAGTTTTTAATTTGAAAAACAAAGGGACAAACAAAATTAATTTTTGTTAGTTGTATTATTATTATTATTATTATTTTTTTTTTTTAAGACCACCTGATGTGAAATATTAATTGTTGATAAGTGCATTGTTGTGGAGAAAATTTCTTAGATTATACATATTTGTAAATATTGTTACTGAAATATTATTGTAACTTATTAGTTAAATAAATATTTTATAATATAGTGGAGTTTTTATTGTTTATTATTTATTATTTAAATCAAAGCCTATGTGCAAAATTGGAGAAATTGAGATGTGTTTCATCATCTGTTATCATCCTGGTATCATATATTCATTGGTTTTGTAAGATAAACATTATTTTTGTTTATTTATGTACTTATTTTTTATAAGAGTAAACAAACAAGTCAGTATTTCATCAAGTAATAGTTGACCAAGAGAAATGGTTGAATGCTGCATCACAGATTCTATATCTGATATACTTCACATATATTTTTCTGTTTTAAAGCTACTGCTTTTTGTATAAAATAGTACTTATAAAATCTTTAAAACTTATAAAATAGTACTTAATATTTATGCATATACATACTGAAATTATATTACTTTTGTTTAACATATTTTTGATTCCAATGGAAAATGTTCCATTTGGATTGAAAAGTTGCATTGTAAAACTAAAAAACAAATTGATATAATACAAGTTAAATTTGGTTTGAAGACGTACTTCAGGGAATTTATTTTCAACCTCTTTATTAATGATCAGGTTGTACATAAATTCGTATAGTTAATTATTTAACATAGAGCATAGAAAGATATGAAAATAAATAAAAAACAGTTAGAAAAAAAAAAATCAAATAAAAAGTCCAATTTGAGCATGAAAATTCAAAGAAAGCCAATTTGATTGGGAGAAAGACAGTGTGATATGGAAAAAAGGAAATTTGATTTGGAGAAAGTAAAATGATTTGAGGAAAATTAACATAAATTGGAGCAAAGCAAGTTCAATTTGGGAAAAAAAAAATGTCAGTTTGATGGAGAGAATGTCAATTGAGTATGAAAAAACACCAGCTTGATTGGAAAAAAGTCAATGTGATATGAAAAACGGAAATTTGATTTATAAATAAACAATAAAATAAAAATTGATTTGAGGATATTAATTTGAATTGGAGCATGTTCAATTTGGTACGAAAAAATGTCAATTTGATTGGGGTAAAGTCAATGTGGTATGAAAAAATGCCAATTTGATTGAGATGAAAAAATGAAATTAGAAAAAGAAAATTTGATTCAAGGAAAATTTACCTGAATTGAAAAATTTCAATTTAGTATGAAAAACTTTCAATTTGATTAGAATAAAGTCAATTTGATTTAGAGGAAGTCGATGTGAAATGAAAAAACGGAAATTTGATTTGAGGAAAATTATTTTGAATCAGAGCAAGTTCAATTTAGAAAAAATGTCAATTTGATTAAAAGAAAGTCAATTTGATTGAGAGAAAGTTAATGTGGCATGAAAAAAAGCCAATTTAATTAGGAAAAAATCAATGCGATATGAAAACAGGGAAATTTGATTTGACAAAAATTGTTTTGAATTAGAGCAAGTTCACTTTGGTATGAAAAAATGTCAGTTCGGTTAGACAAAAGTCAATTTGATTGAGAGAAAGTCAATGTGATGAAAAAACGTCAATTTGATTGGGAAAAAGTTAATATGATATGAAAAAAGGGAAATTTGATTTGGAAAAAGAAAATTTGACTTGAGGAAAATTAATCTGAAATTCTGAATTGGGAAAGTTCAATTTAGTATGAAAAAACATCAATTTGATTTGGAGAAAAAAAATATGATTAAGAAAAAAATTCACTTGGTATGAAAAACCGCCAATTTAATTTGAAGGAAGTAAATGTGGAAAAAATGTGTGTTTTGTATGAAAAACGTCGATTTTATTAACAATAGTTCGTTTTTAAAAGTTCAATTAAACGTGAAAAAGGTCTAAAATTAAGCAAATGAAAAAAAGGCGAGAAAAAAAATAGAAAAAATTCTATAAAAGTTATTATTTTTGTCTCTGACAGAAAAGGAATTTCGAGTAATTCAACCAGGTGATTTAAATATATGGAATACACCAATTTCAAAAGAAGTGTCATGTGACGTATTTGAGCATTATGTTTGTGGAAAGTTAGTTTCAAGGCCACTCGTGTTGGCTTGTTATGGAAGCGGGAGGTTTCAGGAAAGATTATATTTTTCAATACTGTGTGGTCGACATCGTCGGATTGTAAATCCGTCTATCGTCATCTTATGCTCGAAGTGGGATTTCTTTACCGGTGAGCGCGGAATAAAATAACATTAAAATGCCCGAGTACGAGTTCGATGAAGGGGACAGGTCGCAGAGGCTCACAAACGACGATTTCCGTCGCCTTCTGATGACGCCCAGGTCGACGCCGAGTGCCGCTCCGACCCCGCAGCACACGCCGGCCCCAGAAACGGGCGAAGGGCTTAAAAAGCCGGCCTCAGACGACAGGGGCGAGCGGAGAAGGAAGAAGAAGATTTTCTACGCCAAGCTGAAGAAGCAGGAAGAGAACAAACTCGCAGAATTGGCTGAGAAGTACAGAGACAGGGCCAAGGAGAGGAGAGACGGGTCGAACGCCGACTACCAGCCGGACGACCCTATGTCCACGTCGAGCGGTTACAGGGCGGTCGCTCCCGACCTCAAATCCGGGATCGACGCCGCGGAACGGAGGAGGCAGATGATCCAGGAGTCCAAGTTCTTGGGTGGTGACATGGAGCACACCCATTTGGTAAAAGGGCTCGACTACGCCCTCCTCCAGAAAGTCAGGAGCGAGATTCAAATGAAAGAAGCAGAACAGGAAGAAGAGTTAGAGAAACTTGTTGCAAAGCCGAAGAAGGAAAAGAAGAAAGAAGAAGAGGAGATCGTGTTCAAAACCGCCCTCGGGAGGAACATACACAAAGTAGTTATGGAGTCAAATGAGGTAGAGAGGAATCCGCTGTTTGCACCGGGGCGGATGGCTTACGTCGTCGAACTGACCGACGATACGGGTGAAAGCGACATACCGACAACACTTTTGAGGAGCATGGCGGAAATCCCAAACCAGGAGTCTGTTGCGACACTCACGACGAACGACATCGTAATAAACAAACTGGCGCAGATTCTTTCTTACCTGCGGCAGGGGCCCAGACATCACAAAAAGTCGAAAAAGAGAGATAAAATGGTACACATTTCAGTAATACTCGTTACTGTAGAATTTGTCGACACTGATGACTTTCTGATTTCTGATCATTACTGACCACGACTCGCTGGTTATTTCACTCAAACATCTTTCACTTTTTTTTTTGCCAACTACTTAATAACCAATTAGAATAGATGGAGTAAAGGGATCAATGTTGATTAATGAATTACCGACCAACAACTACCATTAATATTCATTGTTTAAAATTAAAGAAAAAAAACCACGGAAACTATTATTTTGGTGGGATGGATAATTGCAAAACTAATAGTTAAGGATTGTGGTTTGTTGCAATGTTTTACATATTACACCTACAATATTTATGTTTATGGTCCATTCTTAATATTGCTTCTGAGTTTTTATTGTTGTTTTAATTTTTAGGGTGATGAAGGGATATTCCCCGATGCAGGAGACTATGTGCCGTCGTCTTCTAAATCAGCAGAATCTCGTAAGAAGATTTCTAATTATTTCAAAGACACGGACAAGGACAAGAGCCCTCCTCCTAGGGTGCCGGATGGTAAAAAGGTGTCGCAGAGTTCAAAGAAAGAGACCAGGGCAGCTGGCCTGCTCTCGAGGCTCGCCGCAGAACCGACTGGCTACGCTGAATGCTACCCTGGTCTGGATGAGATGCAGGACGCGATAGACGACTCGGACGATGAGGTCGACTACACCAAAATGGACCAGGGGAACAAGAAGGGACCTGTCGGCCGGTGGGATTTCGACACGCAGGAAGAGTACAGCCAGTACATGAACACGAAGGAGGCCTTGCCAAAGGCAGCATTCCAATATGGAGTCAAAATGGCTGATGGACGGCGTACGAGGAAGTACAACAAAGAAAAGAACGAACGTGCAGAACTCGACAGGGAATGGAACAAAATTCAAAATATAATACAAAAGAGGAAAGGGCCCGAAGATCCTGCTCCTCCTCAGTTTAAAATTCCAAGATACTGAACTTTTGTGCTCATTTCTGTGTATATTTTAATTTTAATTATCCTAGGATAAATTTTAAAAATAAATGTAATTCCTTGTTTTAGTTTTTCTTGTATTATTTGTGTTAAATAATAAATCATAGGATAAAAAAATGTTTCAATCACTTTTTGTTTTTTCTTGTTTTAAGAGCACAACTTGAAAAATGTGCATACCATGGAAAAGAAATTCTTATCCTCATATTGAACACAAAAAAGCAAAAGATTGAAAAATAATGAATTGCATACATGAATATCTGGAAGTGAAGCTGAAGAAAGCTTGGTTATTAAAGAATAGGGATGACCAGTGAGTGAGGTGGAATTTGCAATCGGGATTTTATGGCATGGGTATGGGGTGTTAAGGTCATGGTGAAGGAAAAGATTGGATACATAGAACGTTTGGCATAGTTTAGGGTAAATACAATGTAGGGCATTAGTTACACTCCTATCACATTCTATTCATGTTCCTCACTTGGAAGAAATCGCGACAATCTCTTTAAGCAACTTAGAGGATTGTCTGGAAGGGGTTGTGATGAGGGTGTTTGGCTGGAATCGTCTGGAGGGTAAATAGGATTTGATACGGATAGTAATGTGATAGTAATAATGATCGGGTGATGATGGAAAGAAATTTGGACTATAGTATTTTGAGATTGGAATGCTTGGTCAAATACCACAGTAATTCGATTCAATACATCCAGATTGGTTATGGCAAGTTTTGATTTGTTGAATTTTGAGAAATTGATATTCAATTCTAGTCTTTTGAGTAATGTGGGAGTTCTGACTAAGACTTTTGTCAAGTCCCAAATTATGGATGACATTCATTTTTGGGTTGGTTTCATTCAGGTGGCTCCATTTCTGAACCATTCTTCCAAAAAGAAGAGATGGTCCTAGAGGTTTATGAAGAATACTGCTAGGTCTAGGTTAGCTGAAAGGATTGTGATATCGCCTGAATATGTAGTACTGTATTGGTATTGATACGAATGCTTGCAATGTATTTAATACACAATGAACCAAGGATGTTGCCTTGTAGATCACCTGCTTTGGCGTAGTAAATGGGGGTTTCGATCAGACAGATACTATTTTACAATGAGGTAAAAGTGAATAAAGGATGCAATCGAGTTCCTGGGATCACATCTTACAAAGACTTGCCTGGAGTGTAGGAAAGCCACGAGCAGCATTCCTTCTGTTCAAAGAAAGATGCGTTTTTTTACATTGGCCATGCTAGCCATAGTCACGACTACTTACACACCTTTTATTGGACACTATACCATCTGTGTACCGTCCACAACTTTCCAGTCACTGGTATGGTACCATTCAGTGCAATCACTTCATCAACTATGCCCTTCAAGATTGCAAGTTCTATTCTTATCGGAAACAAAAAAAGTTCCCTATATTCCTTGATGTTCCCAGAATTTAATAATTTTTGGTGTATGAATGGGAGAGGAAAGTGCAATTATTTAAATAATCTCTCTCGTTCTCTCTCCACCTTGATCATCCATTCCTTCTTCATCCATCTATGATCTATCTTTCTATTTAGATTTGCCTTTGTGAATACCAAACCCATGTATCTTTTCTCTTTCTCTCTCTCTCTCTCTCTCTCTCTCTCTCTCTCTCTCTCTCTCTCTCTCTCTCTCTCTCCTTTATCTTGGAAATATCGTTGCTGTGTTCCATGTACATTCATCACAGTTTCCATCTGAGTCATATATATCAAAGATCCTTTTACAAAGAATATAAATCACGAGCTTATAAACCATTTAAGTAATAAATAAACAAAATTGATAAATAACAAGAACCAATCAACAAACATTAATAACAAGTTCAATTAATTAAGGTTTTGGTTGAGATAAAAAAGTCAGTGACACAAGCGGGATTCGAACCCGCGACCTTCGGCTAAATACGCCGCTGCTCTATTACCTGAGTGTCACGATAGTTCAGGTGGTAGAGCAGCGGCGTATTTAGCCGAAGGTCGTGGGGTTCGAATCCCGCTTGTGACACTGACTTTTTTATCTCAACCAAAACCTTAATTAATTAAAAAGAATTTATTTGGTCAAGCGGACCACGAAACCTAATAAATTAATAACAATCTACAATAATCTATTATATAAAAACTAATCAAATCAATCTATAAAATTATTGCCTTTCATTTATGTTTAAATGTATTAAAATTTAGATTAAAAAATCAATATTTGGACATATCTTATTTTCTTCTTTCATTATTTAATAAGTGGTGAAAAAATGTAATTTTTTACAAAAGGGGGAGTCTGTATTGAATATGCCAATTTATGAAGGAACTGACACAAATAGCGTGATTTGTCTATTCCGGACATATATTTTTGCATATACAGACAGCAATCGGTTTATCTGTCTAAATATATAAAAATAGATTCATCTTTTGTTATGTTTCACCAACGTACTTATCGCGGCTTTATATTTTCTCATCTACATACCTATGTATGTACAATTTAATGTATGACTTAAATGTCTGCTACTCTGGCTCGATCTGTCACGGTAGTTGCAAAGCGAGAATAGGCGGACCGCGAGATCGCCAAGGGCGAGGGGCTGCCGGCTCGGCGCAGAAGGGGCGGGGGCGCTGGCGGAGGGTCGCCTCTTAGGCCAGTCACCGCTCGGAAGCCGTGAGGGCAGCTCCTCGTCGCCCAGTCGCTCAGTGTTTACAAAACATCGCCGACGGAGAGATGAGCGGAAAGACGCAGGCCGCTAAGCACAACCTGCTCACAAAGATAAAGAAAGAAGTGCCAGACTTCGAAATCAAGGTGGGACGTTTTGAAATTTCGGAACATTTTTTTCTCTCACATTGGAAAAACAAAAATCCAGGCATTTATAATAATAATAATAATCCGAACAAATGTTCCTTTGGATTTAACACATTAAAGCCATAAACCTATAAGACTTTAAAACAAAAAAAAATTGCCTGGAACAGTGATTCCACCTTTTGTAAAATAGGCTAACAAACGCTGAAATAACAAAAATCATGATGTAGTCAATTCAATATAAATTTCCAACAAAAAACAACGTTATGCATGTTTTTTTATGCAATTTATAATACACTTTCTAATATAACACCCCTGTCATCTGACTAAAATTATATTACAAATTTTTTAGAAATGCTTTTTGATATTCCTAACAAAATATACCTGACCGGATTACACAAGTTTAATTAACATTAGTGTACATAATAACCATGTTATTTAATAATAACAATAATAATAAATAAATTATATTTAAAAAAAGTATCGTTAGTTGATTATCATCGTTTTCAGTGATTTTTCATTCATTTTAAATTATACAAAATTGTAAATATAATTTATTCAAATAAACATATATGATTTACAAGAAATGAAAATGTTAAAACATAACTTCAGACATTTAGCCAACAATGCATGGCACTGATAGTATACATGGTTAAAATGCATAATGCTGTTTCCAATTAGTCATTCGGTACGAATCATTCGGCGTAATGTCATTTTAATTTATTCATCAAAACTTCAATGTTTAGGGAAACAATTCATTTAGTTATTGGTCGTGTAAAGAGGGCGTAATAATTTTTAAAGGGACGAAAAAGCTTTAAACATAATTTATATTATTGTTTATATTTATATTATATTATTGTATATAATTTATATTATTATGTTATATTAAAATATTATTTTATTATTTAATTAATCTCATTGTTATTTGTAAGTTGTTTACTAGATAGTGGAAAAATAAAGAGCAAAAATAATTAATTAACAGCAAATTTTTAATTCCAAAATAGAATCAAGACTCATTCTCCCATCGAAAAATTAAGTACAAATAATAACGACGGAAAAATAAATAAAATTAAAACTTTCCGATCACTCAATGGCTCTATATAGCTAGATATAGAGTTATATAGTATATAGGTATAGAGATAGAGAAAGATAGATAGAAGGATAGGTAGATAGATAGATATATAGAAGAGAGAGAGAGGAGAGAGAGAGAGAGAGAGATGAAATGGAGAAGAAAGAGAGAGAGAGAGAGAGAGAGAGAGAGAGAGAGAGAGAGAGAGAGANAGAGAGAGAAAGAGAGAGAGATGAAATGGAGAAGAAAGAGAGAGAGAGAGAGAGAGAGAGAGAGATGTATTAATTGGTAGATCTTTTATACACGTTAACGACCAAACGTTTAAAAAAAATATTTTAAATGCATTTCAGGACATTCACATTCCTCCTCCTCCTCTTTAAGCCTCTTTAAGTCGTCCGTTGAAGCTCATCAGAAACTGAGGAGGAGAAGCGTCGGACAAGCTTATCAATATCACACAAACCAGGTGCAAATAGACATCGAATAAAAACAAAACGAAAAATGAAATTAAGAAGCAATTGATAATTTTGAAAGGAAAAGATAAATAAAAGAACAGAAAGACTGGAGAGGCTAAGAAGAGCGAGTAAAAATCCTTAAATTGCCGTAGGACTAAATAAAATAGGAAACTAAAAAAAAAAGAATTGGGGGTCTAAAATGAAAAAACCTTAAAAATTTTAAATGCCGTACTGGTTCGTGTCTGTAACTCCAGGAGTAAAAGGCGTATTGAATTACTTATTCCTGGGCTGGTTGTATCTTGGGTTGAATAATTAATTAAAAAGTATTTTGACAAATAAAATCAGTCTAAATGGAGTGAGCGAATATCGCCCTGGAAAGAACACTCTCCGAAAAATCGAATAACAGACTAGATATCAATCGAGTTGAAGAGAGAGCAAACTCTCACAACGGCTTCATAAAAACCATCAAAGATCCGTTAAGAAGTAGTAATTGAAATTTTCTTCGATAATTGTATGAATGATAGATTGACTGATATAAATATGTTCCCTATCTTTCTTGAGTCTCTCCTTAGTGGACGGAAGATGGCTGTTAATCCCCCAAAAGAGCACCAATAGGTTAAGACAGGGCTTCCCAAACTTTAGCGAGCGATCCCTTTCTCAAAACAAAATCCAAGGCGGACCCCTTTCATTCAAGTATTTGAAATTGGATACTTATAGTACATTCGGTAAATTAAAGTTTTATAAATTAGCCAGTTCATTCCTAATTAGGTGATGGAAGGGGATAAACCTATGAAAAAAAAAACGTTTGTTTGATATATTTTACTTTATATACAAAATCCTTTACATAACAATCAAATTAGACAGGACGGAATAAATAGTTATATAAAACTCGAGCCAAATTCAAAAGCAATAATTTGAACATTAATGATTAATGAATTAATGGGAAGAGTGAGATGGTTTTAGCCTGCACAATTTGGATAAGTTAGGTTTAATTTTTCATAGCTGGAGACGGATGTTCTAGACAGCTTCGGTATTCAGTTTTGGTGGCTGTATAGATGGAAAATCCTGATTCGTATGGTAAGTTGTGGCAAATGGAAGAAGAACATATTTTGCTTTTTCAACATGCGGTTGAAATTTTTTGTTTTCCAGTCTGAGTGAAAAATGGAGGTATCGGACTCGAAAGTAGATTTCAAGCTGGATTCTGAAATAATGTCTTATAAGAATTCGTATTCACTTGAAGATAGACTTGGCTTTGTCGAAACAGAAAACGGACAACAAACTTCGAAGGTGTTCACACAGTTTATCGATCAACGTGCCGTTCGTAAGCTCCAGTTTTTCTTTAAAAAAATCATTTAACTGGAAAACACTCTACCTCATCCTTCTAACAGATTAAACCCAAAACTTATAATGCCATAATCAGGGCCTATTTGTTAAAAATTAAAAAATAATATACAATTAACAATTAACAAAATAAAATAATGTACATATTTTCCCAAGAGTGCCGAAAACGTCTTTTTCCTCTCTCTCTCTCTCGCTCTCCTCTTCCCTGCCTCTCTTTTTAACTATCAAACTCCCACTATCTCTATCTCTCATACTCTCATTCTCTTTATCTCTCTCCTCTCTCCCTCTCCCTCTCCTAGCTTTTTTCTTTTTCTCTTTCGATCTATCTATCTGTCTGCCTGTCTATGTACCTACACTCACTGAAACTTCACTCTAACTCTCTCACACAACCCCTTTCTCTTTCCGATGTTTCATTAATTATCTGTATTTCCATATTTATTTGAATTTAATTTATTTTTAAGTGTATCTATGTAAATGAATTTCAAACTTGTACTGTTCTCTACGTCTCTGTCTCAATTNGTGAGAGAGAGAGAGAGAGAGAGAGAGAGAGAGAGAGAGAATTACAAGTTTGAAATTAGTTTAGGGGACCGCGGTAGCCGACTGGTTAGCATGAGAGACTCTCACGCCGCGGTCGAGGGTTCGATTCCCACCGTCGCCTCTGGCCCTTTTTTCCCCGATAACCCCCAATTGAACAACATATATAAGAATTCGTCATGGCTAATATGCAAAGATCATAAGGCCAATAAAAAAAAAATAATAAAAAAAAAATAAAAAAAATAAGTTTACAAGTACATACATATTTGTATAAATAAATTTAGGGATGGATATGGACATATAAATAATTAATTAAACATAGAAATATAAAAACATACTTAGTGAAATGATTAAAAAACTTCGAGGAGAAAGGGGGTTGAACGTTAAGTTCAAAATATCTGTTCCTTTTTTCTTCGTGTGTATGCATCGATTTAATTGTACGTACATATTTACAAATACAAATTAATAGTCAACATATTTTCTAATACAAATTGACCTTAAAACTAACAATTATTTGAAAACTATATCTTTTTTTATGAATTGTGTTGATTTTGGACATTGTGTGACAAGTGTTGGGTCGTTTTGGAGGTGATAGAAGATTGGTTTTGCAGTTTCCTCTGTGAAATATTAACGATTGAGCCCGCAGGTCGTCGGATTTCTTGAAACCGAAGCCAACGCGGCGTTCAGCCGTACATAGTTATGAGAGGCACCGCCTACAGTCAGAATAATCCCAGAGAGATTGGATAGATCTGGATAGAGCTCGCCGTGAGAGGGTCGAGTTGCCCCAAGGTAACCCGATAGACAAGCAAAGTAACAGCCCTCCTCTGTAGAAAGAGGATCTGCGTAATTCTTCTTAGCGCTGGGATTTTTCGGGGGGAGGATGAGAGACTCATAACCCATTGGAACAACCCCTTTTCGGCTTAGCCGGGGCAGAAGGGCACACATTTATATTCTGTATCACATGATATCTGGGTATCCTGTAACGCAATAAGGGGCAACTTGAGATAAAGCAACTCGATATTTTTCATTTTCGTCTCGGTTATAAAATAAAACACGCAATGTTCTTTTTTTTTACTTTCTTTTTAATTTTTATGGATTGTTAAACCTTAAGTTAACGATGTGGCTCATAAACGGTGTAGAAAAGCAGTATGTACCCCTTCTCAAATTTAATACAACTATATTTAAACAAATTGCCTTTTAAGAACTCTTTTTCAAAGATCTATGAACCTTACACGATTATTTTTTACAGAAATCAAATAATCTAAAATGAAATATAACAAATTAAAGTTGTAACAAGCATTTGTTTTGACATAGCTGACCCCCTGTCGCCACGGATCAGGATTTTATTTTACTCGAATAATACTCAAATGAGGAACATGATTTCTTATTATTTACTAACCAGTCAATATATTTATTTACCATACTGACTGTGGTCTACTCAAACTGTGGTCCGCGGCGAAATTTGAGAAAAACTAATATTTACAAAAATATACGTAGAATGAATTAATGAAATTAAAAAACTAATAACAATGAGTACTGAAAACGAATTTTTTTTTAATGCAGTAGCAGTCATTGTCTTCTACAGTCATGCGTTAGCTATTAAACAA